GGCACAAGATTAGTAAATGCTAAAATAAGAGTTCGCTCCTAACAAATTTTCTTGCCTCCACTCAGCCTCCGGAATAAGCTACCATCTTTTTGTTGTGGCAGAGAAAAAGAATCAGAAAGCTGATAGCAGATCATTTGCTAAAACAGACCCCCATGAGGGGAGTATAAGGACAGGTTAAAGAGGCAATCTTTTAATAAGAAAACTCACAACTGCGGCAGTAACAAGTTAAACTGTATAGTGACAACCTCAGGAAAAAGTCTCTGGCTCTCGCTGTATCTCAGACACCCATACTATTTAGATCTTTGTAACCACTTCCTCAAGTGCACAGAATTACCCCAGAAGATCAACTCTAGCAGAAGAGCATTTGAGGACAATGAACATAGTCTCAGGGCCGGAACTCCCACAGAAATACTCTCATTGAAACCAACCTACATTTTTGGTGAAGTTAAAGAAGGACACATGATCAGAAACAATCAGAAGCAGTAAAGCCTCGAAACCACAAAACTCTCCGGATTGCGGAGTGTGCACACATGGTTCCTGTAGACTCGGTTCAGTAACACCTTCAAAAATACATATGTTTTAAAAAACTTCCCGAGGGCAATTTTACAGAAATCCCATGACTTCTCTACTGGTGTAAGGCTAAAATGGGAAGATTCGTATTCATTACTCAGTTGACCATTCATGCTCTGCTGCAGTCACAAGCATGGTCTGAGCTGAAGGCCAGGGCCACACTATACAAAGACCAACTTTCCTTTCAACTTCCCATTTGGTTTGGAAATACAGGTCTGCTGTGGATTCTCATGGACAAATAGAAATGGAATCAACCTGGACCCCAAAACACGTCTCACTGATGCCTGGGGAAAGATGGACTAGTAGGGAGCAGGTTTGCTGGCTAGACCTAATAATCACATAAGAGGGATTATTCTCAACTCTTAATTCAGTTTTATGACATGTAGATCTTTGCACATAATATAGTGTTGTACAAATACCAACACTAAAAATTTTATTGAATTTGTGCTCATTATATTCACCAACAAAATATTGTTAAAAGGTTCTTTTCTTAATGAATATATTTGTCTTTGAATGAAATAATAGAACATTTTATTTTGGCTTTAATTTTAATGCCACACATACAAAAAGCTTCTTAGTATGATAACTGCCTTCCAGTGAGAGCCAACAGTAGGACACAGTCACCCACGGGGCGACAGTACCTGCTTGAAGGAGGTAGTACCGACTCTTGGATGTTGATTTTTCTAGCAGAGGAAAGAAATCTCTTCTGAGATTTAAAAAAAAAAAAAGAAAAAGGAGAGGACAACTTCGTAGTATCACATTTACGTGACAGTTAGAGGGAGCGGTGATTTAAATACAGTGGTGAAAGGTAAAGCCATATCCCATTGCAGAGAACCGTAGCCATTCTACGGTAAAAGAAACACAAGTGGAGTCTCAAGGAAGAGGAAACTACTTATGTGTGGGAACTAAATACGCCGCCGGCTTTCCTCGGGTTTAGAAGGAACCACGAGTTAGACAGGAAAAACACAACAGAAATAGATGCACCCCTGTGACTCTCCCAAAGGCTAACACTTTTCCTCATTATATAGAGAGAAAAAAGAAGGGATATTTCTCTGAAGTGACTGTGCCACCGGTGAGAAAGAATGCACGCAGAGTGACGCTGCTGTTGAGGACCCTTGGCTCAGGATACGAATATCACACAGTCACCTTTGACAAACAATTACTCAGTGGCTCTATTCTAAGCATCAATCTTTTATCAAAGATTATCACTGAAATGCGAGATTAAAGAGCCCCAGCGGGCTGCCCGCCCTGCCTTGGTGGGAATGCCTCTTACGATGCAGTTTTTAACCATACAAAACAGAGTGTTCTCTTAGACACACAAACTTCCCCATCATGATGTTGTGAGAAAGCAAAATGCTCAACTGCTGAAAACTTTTCAGAAAACAGAAGTGCACTGTGACACACACTCTTTGTAGAGGAACAGCATTATCTCATTGATTTATGTTCCTGTTTCTTTCTGTACTTGTCATGACAGCATATGCTTTTCATGGTCAAATTCTGTAAATGGTTTTAGAAAGGATAAGCAGAGAGTTATAAATAAGGTGGAATAAGATAGAAACTTATTCCAAAACTTATCAAATAATTTCTTACCAATAGATTACCATGTGAGATCTACGTTAGAAGAATGTGTTCAGCTGAAGACCCCAGGTGTCACTAAAAGATAAAAATCCTTACCAATCTTTGGGAGGCTAAAGACTTTTAAGACTCTGAAAAGCAGAGGGAGACAAACCGTAAGAGACTCTTAATCTCGCAGAACAAATTGAGGGTTGCTGGGGGGTGGAGGGTGGGGAGAGGGGGGTGGGGTTATGGACATTGGCGGGGGGGTGTGTGCTGTGGTGAGTGCTGCGAAGTGTGTAAACCTGGCGATTCACAGACCTGTACCCCTGGGGCTAAAAATACATTATATGTTTATTAAAAAAATATATAAATAAATTTAAAAAAAAAAGACTCGGAAAAACAAAATAAAACTGAAAGCTACCCACTGCGGCCTGCAGTTTTCCCCTCTGGTAGAATCTCTTAAGATTGTGTCAAATCACTGAAGAATAATGATACTGTTGGATGCCTTGTTCAGGAAGAATAAATCACCCAATATGTCCAATGGTGGAAATTTAAAGATACGTGAAATTGCTGTAAATAATAATGTGGGGTGTAGAGCAAAAGTAGAAACCTTCTTGAATTTCCTCTTTCTTGTTTTTTTTTTTTCCTCTGTGGGGGGTGGGGTACCTTGACAGGAACAGATACTGACTACGTGTGCGTGTGCGTGTGCGTGTGTGTGTGTGTGTGTGTTGGGGCTAGAACTGGTGGGAAAGAAAAAAAACAGAGTTCTCCTTATTTTGTGGTTAGCAAAAGAGGAGAGATTTGTTTTTGCTCTGTTTTGTTTTGCGGTCTGGAATCTCTAAGATCTCTCAGTGACAACTGAGGAGTTTATGTCTGCAATATTACTAACTGAAACTTCCTACATGAGACTCTCCAGTGGACCATGGATTACTGAGCTGATGCCGTAATATACAAGTATGCAAAAAGCAATTTTTATAATTTTCTTGTGATTGAAAACAACACATTTGTAAGGTTGAGAAAAGAACTGAGACTTGGGTTAGATGTTAACTAATGTAAAACGGATTTTTGTGTAGCCAGTGTTTGTAGTCATACTTGAAATTACATGTAACCTTAGCCTTTAGAAACTTTAGAAGGTAATGATAATTTTAAAGCTATGAGAGACTGACAGGAGATGGGGAGTGGGCAAAATGGGGAGAGGGGTTCATAACGTACAAACTTCCAGCTATAAAATAAGTCATGGGGAATGTAATATATAGCATGGCAACTGTAGTTAATAATACTGTACTGCATATTTGGAAGTTGCTAAGAAAGATCCTAAAAGTTCTCATCATAAGAAAAAAAAAAATCCTGTAACAGTGTGTGGTGATGGATCTTAACTAGACGTACTGTGATGATCATTTCACAATACATACAAATATTGAATCATTGTGTTATATGCCTGAAACTAACATAATGTTGTATATCAACTGTACCTCAACAAAATAAAAGATATGAGAGACTAAGAACATAATAAGAAGAAATGGTAATTTATTTTCAAATCGACAAAAACATCTCTATTTATATCTATGTATAGACTGTATGCAAAGTACTATTCTTGGTATTTAAAAGCAGTAAGGAGGAGACATCATGAGTTGAATAAGATCCATATTTCTAAGGAACTTATAATCTAGTTGGGAAATAAACATTAAGGACTTGAAAAGTCAAATTATAGCACAAAAGCCATATAACCAAAATAGTATAAACAACACTGTGATACACCACATAATTAATTATCAGTTAGTGTCTAGAATAGAAATTATACCTGGATGTGTCACTGAAATTAGGTGGAGAGGTTTTAAGATATCAAATGCTTGAGTTTTCCCCCAGACCTCCTGAATTAAATAACTGAACAGTGTATAGGAGAATAGTGGGTATAAATTCAGAGAAGGGAGAATAGTTGGGGGGAGAGAAGACCTGACATTTTACAAACTTTACAAAGCTCCCCAGGTGATCCCAGTGCAACTTTTCATACAACTAAGTAGAGTAATATTGGAGAATCACTGCTGTGGGCCAAGATGGGCACCACTGGACAAACATCTCTACCAGTAAAGGTGGCATATGAACCAAATGAGCTTTGAGTTATGTCAAATTTTCAGCAGAAACTCACATCTTTTTCCCTCTCCACTGATGCCTACAAACTTTGGTTGAGAAATATTAGGCTAGATCTTGAGAGCAAGAGCGTACAATGCAGCTGAGAGGCTTCAAGGAGGGATAACCTGCATTGAGTTTTAAAGGAAAGACCTTCTTTGCCAAATGCACAATAGAAAAACTCGCCAAGGAACAGGAACAGTATGTATTCAAGAAAGTAAAACTGGATTTAGGTGATGCATTGAAGAACTGTTTAGAAGAGAGGGTTCAAGCAGGGGAACACTGGGTGGTGAAGAGGATCAGATTCCCTCTTTGGGTTCCACTGTGTTTTTATTATGAAAAAATGTGAACCCCGAGCCTAGGATTTTGTAAGTCTCAATTCAGTAAACTCTTTTACTTTTGTTCACTCGAGCTACACTCAAAAACGTTAATGCCTTATTATTTTCATTATAATCTGCACATCAAGGATATATTCTTGGCTATGATTTCTAATTTTTTTTTCATATTTCTTCTTTAAAGAGAGTGGTTCTAGGTTCTTTAGTCAATCTTATTCAATCTTCATACTTAATAGACAAAAGCCAGGACTACAATGACCTGGTTGTTGATGACAAAGTCCTGGTGCACAAGATGGCTTTGTTCAGACTGCCAGAAAGAAAAAGTAAATTTCCAAGATGATTATCAGTGTTACTGAAGATTTAATAGCTGGGGCTTATGGAACTTGAACCAAATACCAATACTGCAGTTACCTGAGTGAATGATTCCTGGTAAGATCAGGCTGACGCTCCTGTAGAATTTCAAAGATGTTGGGTTGGCGCAGAAAAGCAACAATCTTGTCATTGTAAGCTGAAAAAAATCAGAAATTATAACAATACTTTAAAAAATATATTAGGTTTACGCACATAAATCCAAACTTAAAAGTCTGGTATTTTTGGGTTAATGTTCCTTGTACTAAAAGTCATAGTTTGGGGCACTATAGATGCTTAAATTCCAATTTGTGTCTATTTGTTATATGACTATTGGACTTAGATCTAGTAGGTATGGCTTAAGCAATAATTAAACTCATCCAATAAATCATATTTATTATCAAATTGCAGGATGAGATCACTAACAAGATTCTAGATATTGCTAGTTTTTAGCTACTGTTTACCAAAAGCCTCTAAGCAACTGTTAGAAATGGAAAAGTATCTTCTGATAAAGTATCAGCCATCCAGAGAGGTAAAGAGGCAGAATGAGAGTTGCCCAAATACAGTAGCGCTCTGAAAACTGAAAACATGGATAAAAGAAATTGAAGATGACACAAATGAATGGAAAGGTATACCATGCTCATGGATTGGTAGTCTTAACACTTTTATATGTACATACTCAACACAGAACTCTACAGATTCAACAAAATGCCTATCAAAACACCAACATTTTTTACAGAACTAGAACAATCTTAAAATTTGTATAGAACCACAAAAGACCCATAATAGCCAAAGCAATCTTGAGAAAGAACAACAAAGCTAGAGATAGCACAATCCCAGACTTCAAACTAAATCACAAAGCTCTGTAGTTAAAACAGTGCAATATAGGGACAAAAATAGACATACGGATCAACAGGACAGAAAGCCCAGAAACATAGCCATGTTTACATGGTTACTTAATCTACAATAAAGGAGGCAAGAATATATAATAGAGAAAAAACAGTCTCTTCAATGAATGGTGCTAGGAAAACTGGGCAGCTACCTGAGAAAGAATGAAACTGGCCCATTTTCTTACACTATATACAAAAGTAAACTAAAAATGTATTAAAGACCTAAATGTAAAACCTAAAACTATAAAACTCCTAAAAGAAAACATGGACACTAATTTTCTGGACATTGGTCTTAGCCACATTTTTCTGATATGTGTCCTCAGGAAGGAAAACAAATGCAAAAACAAACTATTGGGGCTACATCAAACTAAAAAGCTTTTGCACAGCAAAGAGAACATCAACAAAATGAAAAGACAGTATACTGAGCAGAAGAACATATTTGCAAACCGTATATCTAATAAGAGATTAATGTCTAAAATATATAAAGAACTCATTCAACTCAACAACAAAAATAAAATAATCCCATTGAAAAATGGGCAGATGACCTGAATAGATATTTTTCCAAGAAAGACATAAAGATAGCCAACAGACACCTAAAAAGATGCTCAACATCACTAATCATCAGAGAAATCCAAATCAAAACCACAGTGAGACATCACCTCACACCTGTTAGAATGGCTAGTGTCAAAAAGACAAGAAATAACAAGTGTTGGCAAAGATGTGGAGAAAAAGGAACCCTTCTTTATTCTTGGTGAGAATGTAAATTGGTGCAGCCATTATGAAAACAGTATGGGGGATCCTCAAAAATTAAAAATAGATATATCACATACTCTGGTAATTCTACGACTAGATATTTACCCAAAGAAAACAAAAAACATTTTAAAAAATGTACACACCCCTCTGTTCATTGCAGCATTATTTACAATAGCCAAGATAGGGAAGCAACATAAATGTCCATCAATAGATGGATAGAGATGTGATTCTGCATATAATTCTATATTTAATAGAATATTACCCTGCAATAAAAAAGAATGAAATGGTTTTTGTCCTCTACCAAAATGTAGAGGACAAACCATTCATTAATTTTATGTGGAAATAAATGCCATTAAGCCACATGTAGGTATTTACCAAACCAACTATAGCAACAGCTACAGCACAACTGGCATTATCAACTACATATATAACATTGAAAGAAAATTGTATCTTTGTCAAGTCTAGCTAATGTCCACAGAAATTTAAAAACAGTTCATTACAATTCATTAAGAGCTCTAACAATTAAATTTTTATCAAGAAAAATAATTTGTTTCCTTAAGATTATTCATCTTGATCATATCTGTTTCTAATCAGAAATATAGATGTATTTAAGCCACAGAACTAAATGTCTGGATTCTCAAACATCAGTGATCCTAGTTCGGGCAACACTCTTCTGTTCATAAATATGTCAAGGAATACGCCTTGCTTAAACTAACAAATGATCAAACAAAAGAAATATAATGCTCTAAACATTTTCCAGTTCAAATTTCAGCTACATCATGTTGCCTATGTATACATATTTTAGTTAAATGTGAAAAAATTTAAAAAAAATACTATCTGCTCATAGAATCTCCCTGCAAGCTTGAAGTGTATCTAACAGTACAGTTCATCATATATAAATAATGAAAACACTTAAAAAATTTTTTTAGAAAATGCTTTTATAACTAAAATTTTGTCAGTGGGTTTTTACATTCCATCCATCATCAGAGACTAGATAACTTTTTGAGCAACTATTTTAAAAGGTTTTAAAATTCTCTGTGCAGTATTTAATATCCTACTAGGAAATGGCATAATAAAACAGGCTATTGGACTTAGATCCAAGATTTCTTCTTGTCCAGTGTTTGCCAAACTAGTTAAGTAATGCCATGGGCATTACTTTATATTTCATGTTAAAGTTTTCCTTAAAGAAGTGAAAATTTTAAGGTAAAAACAGACCAATGGACAGCTACTTGAATTTAAGATGAAGCAGGGAGCCCACACAGCCTCCTGCCATCTGTCTACTCCACCTGCCTGAGGGCTCCAGGTGTGAAACTGATCTACTTCAACCTTATCACGTGACTAATAACTCAAGTGTTCTTTAGGTCTATTTCCCCCAATTCATTTATTTTTATTTTACAATTTTGGAGTCTCTTCCTGCCTTATATTTGCTACAGATATCTAGCTCTCTACCAAAACCTTAAGAATGTGTCATCATTGCTTTCTTATTGTGAGGCTATTCTAGGTTCACACACTATTTATGTTCGGTCCCAAGCATTAGATATATTCTAAGTATATGCTTGTCCATTGTTAATTTGAAATGACCACATAATATATTTGCCTTAATAGCTTATCTTCCTTTAAGCTCAGCTATCTACTATAATAGCTCTACAAAGAAAAGGTAGAGTAATATAAAAAATCTCATCCCACGGGACCATATATGACATGAGTGCTTTGCGATTCAATCAGTTTCTTAGGGATAATGAAACAGCTCTCAGTACAGGGCAAAGGGGCAGCCAACAGGCCACATGATTCACACTGATATGAAAAGCCGAAGATAAAGATTTCTAGAAAGCGATGACGTACCCACTGGAACCATGTCCTGGTACTGCGGCCTACTGACTGTATTGAACGTACTCGATGGCCTGGGAAGAACCGGTGGTCCTGTATGTCGAGAATCTTCTCCTACCTGCAAACAGAAGCATCGTTTATGGTCTGCACCAAGACCCAGAGGGTTTAAATCAGCACACCGAGCCTGGTTGTTCAACATATCTGACAACGAACATTAAGTGTCAACTAACCAGAAATGACGCCACCTGAGGAGCCAACACTGGGCTCCCAAGAGCTCTGCTTTAGTGCTGAACTGGGGGGATGGGTCGGGATGTCTGTGTCCTTGAGAGGGGCTGAGCAGTGACTACCAGGCGGTACAGACGTAGTTCATACGTGTATAATCACTGGGGTCGTAGAAGCTCAACAGCAGACTTGTTCACCAGGAATAACCTCTGCTTTGACAGAACCCAAACCTGCAACAATACATCGGAGAGGGAACCTCGGAAGCACCAGGACCGTTATTCCTTCTTCCGGCCAAGGCAGGTCTGGGAACTCCCTGCACAGAGGCGGCCACACTGGCTCCGTGTGGGGTACTGAGGCAGTGTGTGAGCTCCTCAGAAGCAATCTCACGTGCCTATTAGAGCACCCGGTACAACAGCTCTTTCTGGTTTGAACCTCCCACACCAGGGAGCTAATCGCAGCAGGTGTGAGAGAGCTAAATAGGGTTGCCCCAACCTGAATTATTTATTGTACCTATTACAGATTTAGAAACCTGTACATACAACTCGATCAGCAAAAATGCCCTTGCACAGTCTTCTCAGCAAACTCTAGCATTGCGTTAGCTTCCGTTTTAGCACTGCCGTCCCCATGTTACAGAAGGCTTTTCAGACAACAGCAGAGAGGACGTATCAGACGGTAAGAGGGGGAAAAGGGCGAAATAACATAGTGGATTTAAAAATTGGTACTTTTAAAATAGAGCTTCTACTCCCACTTATTCAAAATTCACCACCATTTTATCACATTGTATCTGTGAGGTGTTTGCTGAGGGTTTTTCTGAAGGCCCTAAAACTAAAAATACCGTTCCCACTCCATGCTGCTTGCTTGTCCCTCAAGAATACTCTCCCTCTCTCTTCACAGTGTAGTTCAAACAGCCCCTCCTCGGTGAACCCTTCCCTTCCGTTCAAGCTGACTTGAAATGCACCTGCTCTGAGCTCCCACAGCACCTGATACACATCGGAGAAGCAGCTGCCATTATTACCATTTCATAAAGTGCCTTCATGTTTTTATTCATTTGTATTACAGTTAGTTTCACATATTTGCTCCTTAGTAAGAACAAGGAACATGTGTTATTTGTGTCCTTCACACCAGCCACTCTGTCGCTACCCTGCCAGTGTTTGGTAAGAATGACTCTGTTGGGTGGAAGATAAATCTACACTTCCACCACCTGTAATATTTGCTAAATGGGGATAAGAGAGTAGACAGAAAGACTCCCATGTGTGACTAGAAGTTTCTCGCTCTGCTTCTCTTGAATTATTGGCTTTGAAGAATAAACTCAGTTACTCTCAGAGGAGACTCGATCCTTAACGACACCTTGTTTGTCAGCCACAGAACTTACCATTTTAATACATGAACATATTCTTTCCCTCCTGTCAGTATGTGGTTATGCATCATTATTTCCCAGAACAGACAAACGTCTTCTCTTCAACACCTCACTTCCTCGAACCAGACCGGCCGACGGGGGACAAGGCCAGATAAGCGTGGGGAGCACTGCAGGCTACGCCACAAAGCACATTCCCGTCAATGATCTGACTGGGCTGCGGCTGACTGCTGAGTCTTTACAGGGTTACCTCTGTTCTGTGGCTCAGTCTCCTTCAACATGAAGAGCTATCCTCACTTGAATACGAATGGGTACTTTAGGATCCCTCTACCACAACAGGCTATTACTAGACTATGAAAATAACTAGAGAGCAGAAGCAAAGGAATTGAAAGAAAAAAGAGGGTAGCTGTTAATCTTACACAGAGTCCCAACCCAACCCAGCAGCCAGCTCCAGACTGTGAAGTCAAGATAGGGCAAGTGGCTAAAGTGCACTGGCCTTGTGATAAAGCCAGGCAGGGCCCTGATGATGGTACTTATCACACACAAGGTCCAAAGGTGAGAGGTCTGTTCTGCTTTTAAGATGAACGCTGTCCATATCGTCCAGTTCACCACTAATGGTTTCCATGGCAGCAAAGTAAAGATTTATTAAATACTCATAAAACACAAATATTTCTGTGCATACCTCATCCTGCAATAGACTCATATATCACGTTTATATGAGGCTCTCAAGTATCCTCTTCTACGTCTGCACTTACAGTCAGCAAACACACAAGCGTGTAAGTCATGAGGGGAAATTCCAAGAGTAGAATTTTGATGAATCAAATCCAGTTCTTTATCACGTTCATAACTTTTCTTACGAGAGGCTACAAAAATATCTGACCTACAGTATAATACTGAAAATATAACATGCACATAGACATGGAAAAGGCATGCTGGAAAAGAATCTTAATTTTTTTTGCTTGAGCAAAATGTATACCAAGCAATGATAAACATTCAAGGCATAAAGCCAGTATTAAAGAGAAAAAAAAGTTGACTTAGAACATTCCTTTTATTTAAGCTACCAAAGAAAAAAGAAAACAGGAAGTCATTATTTCGTTTTTCTTTTCTTTTCTTTGGTTAGGCTATTCGAGAGCCCCCATGTGGTTACCACGGTCACTGCAAGCCAGCAAAGTTAGAGTGAGGTAGGGCTGTTCGTAATTCCTAATTCTGCTCATTTTCTCTGGGCTCTTAGAGTTCATGAATCAACCCTCAGGTATCTGGTGACTTTAAAGAATTAGTGAGGACACCACAACCCCATAGCATTGGCTGAAAATTTTCATTCAACCCAGCAACCCTCAGTTAAAAAATCTCCCTGCATGCACCTGAAATTCAGCCCACTAAACGTTACATCTTGGGCCCTCTGCAGTTCATAGTCATGACAACTGGGTGTTCACGCCCTTGTGGGACACGAGCCTCCCTCAAACTTTGTTATGATTCGGTACACTACCCGTCTGACGTAGTTTTGTCCTACGAAGCTACCCTTAGGTATGCAAAAGGGCTTACCATCATCCTCTCTGGAACATTTTCTAACATTGAGAATTTTCTCTCACCATCTTCTGAATGTAAAAAGATTCCCCACATTCTTCCATCTTTCCTCCTAGATCTTTTAAAATTTGTAAATGAGGCTCTGCATATTTCCAGAGAAACCCTGTGAACATTCCAACACTTTCCAGTCTCCAAATGATAATCTCTAAAGCAAACTAGGGAAACAAGACAAGGCAATACTAAAAAGCCGGCCCATTTCCACCACGACCGCATGCCGTGGCCTCCACAAAGCGCTACCCCAGGTGGGGGGCGCGGGACTCACCTCGCCTGCACTGTGGCTGCGTTGCCTCGTCAGGTGCTGTCGGTGGACCAGCGCGCTCGTGGGTCTACTGCTCTGCAGCGGGAGCCGGGGGTCGATAAAAGTGGTGGTGCGGGAGTTGTGGTCGACAAAAAACGCCTAGGAAACAATCCCCTCAGTCAGTGTCAATTCGTGTCCCGCACTTGTCTTCACTCACCTATCACTGCACACGTTCAGGAAAAGACCGACTTTCGAGTAATGATCTTAGCTCCATTTTCTCATAATTTTAATCTCTGGGGAGCATTATTCCAGGTTTTAGGAAATACTCGAAGAGACAGTCATCAAAGATAGGATCTTAGAAAGGAGCCATATGAAAGGATGGTTGGGCTTCTCTTAACTGGTGCTATTCAAGCTCTTATGCTGTGGACGCTTATTACCAAGTTTTCATCAGCTGACACTTCAGTGTCATTGAGGTCTCCTACACGGTCAGCCCCCAGACACGTTCCCAGAGTAGTGTCTCCTCCATCTGTCCCATCGCAGCCTGATGACCCTCCTGTTATTTCAGGGCTTTCTCTTGCACATGTTAGGTAATAATTGTCTTCAGGTGTTCCACATCTCTACAACCTTATTCACTTAACTGGCACCTCAGGACCGAATGTTCTCTCTAAATGCTTTGATTGCATCACTGCTCCAATCCAAAGCTTCTGCTGGATACTCACTATCTCAAAAAAAAAAACAAAAAACCATTCTGACCCTTTGGCAGTTTTCCAAGATCTTAAAATCTCCTTCCCATTTGCCTTTCCAGTTTAATCGTTGCTTACACATTCCATACAAATTCTATCACCTACGATGACTTTGGGCAAGCCAAAAAGTTCTCTGAGCTGTAGATTTCTTATAAAAACACGTCTTTCTCATTCATAAAAACACCCCCCACCCCCCCCGCCATACTGTGAAAGGAGGGAGGAATCATGTCTATGGTGTTTACTGCAGAATCCCCCGATGATGTGAAGTCATGAATGAGCATAAACCGTTTCCCTCCCTGCAGTAAGGACTATATATAATGCAGAAAAGCCTTTTCAAATTCTTTTTGTTTGTTTAATTTTGAAGCTCTACACCTGCTATATATTGTTATCTTTAGGAGACAAAGGGTATAAGTCTTCAAAGTGAAATTTGCTCTAGGGAATAAGGAAGCCCATTATCTCAAGGACAATTAGAAAATGTGAGTTTTCCATGATCAGATAAAGTTTATTAGGTCATCAAGATAAAAGAGACTATTAGTAGAGTGGGGAGACACATTACCTATTAGTCAAGTGTCAGGGCACATGATATATGCCAATAACCTAAGCAAAAAAGAACTGACTTCTCAAACTAATGAAGCTCAGGTAACAAAGTACCTTAAAGACTAGGAAGGAAAACACCTAGACAAATCCCAGGTTTAGATGGTATATTTATGTCTATTAAAAAAATCACCTTTCCATTATGAAACAAAATATTTCTATATATACATACTCAGGAAATAGGCAAAACAATTTGTAGGTAAGCTCCCAAATAGTAAAAAAAAAAAAAAAAAATTTGTAAGATAATACCTTTAAGCAGTAGATGCACTAGAAAACAAAGCGGAGAAATATACTGATTGAGAATCCTTGCCAGTCCGTCCATCCTTCCTTCCCTCCTATTTGTTTAATTTAATTTATTATTATTTTGTTATTATTATGTTCTCTTAGCCAGCATATAGTACTGTATACTGGCTAGTCCCTTCTTTCAATATCTGATTTCCAGATACAAAGACTGAATTAAATGGAAATTTTCTAGGACATGATGCCATCAGCCTCACATCCCTGGGTAATGCTCCCTTTTTCCTAACATGTCAGGTGGAACATCTATCTACTCTGAGCTTATTAAAAAAAAAAAAAACAAAAAAAAAAAAAAAAAAACCCTCTAAAAAACAGAAAACACCAATGTTAAACTCTGTATAGGCCTAAATTGGTAGATTCTGGTCCCAAATGTGACACTAGTTCCCGTTTGATTTGGACTTCTAATACACTTATAAATCATTTCTGCCATACTATTCAAAATGTCATGCAATAGAAATTAATTTATTTTTACAAATGGGCATTTCAAAGTAATAGATATCAAAATCAGCCATATATCTTTATGAAATTAAGATTAAGTTTTTATTACTAAAACAATAATATAAGCTATGTTTTTTAAGGGAAAAATACAAAGAGTACTAAAATAGAATTGCCTATTTACTCTACCTAATTTCTCAGGAATGTTTTGAAGGGATAGATAACCATTTAGAAGTAACAATGATGCACTCTTGTAATTATAAGGACAAATGGGTGTGTACATCTAGGTCAGCTGTGATTTACATGCAGTGTCATAGTATAATTTGATGTTAAGAGGCTTGTCTAAAACCAATTCTCGAAAGAATGATACTGCAAATGCCTTGAGGGAAAGGACTCTTTCTTACCCACCCTGTTATCCAAGATAGCTTTTGGGAGTACATCTGGGGGAAAGATGGGGCCTTAGTAAATAATGAAACTTTCAAATTCTAATATCTTGTCTAAAGTACAGAGACTACTCACAACAAACTAATCAAATAATAAAAGCCATGTTCTTTTACATAAGCATAGAAATAATTAAAGCTCTTTAAAAAATAAATGAGGGGTGTGTGTGTGTGTGTGTGTGTGTGTGTGTGTGTTAGGTAAAAACCATGGAGACTTAAAAACTCTAAAACCACAGATAGGATAGAAGTTTTTAAAATACCCCACTATAGACATGAATTAATTACCAAGTTAAAACTTGAGAAGTGGGAGGCAAAGTAGTGGTTACATGGTTGGGATCCAAAAAAAGACAAGGCTGGTTCTGAGAGCTAGCTCCACCACTTACCAGTGACATAACCTTGAGCAAACTACTTAGCTCTTTTAAACCACAATTTCTTTTCTGTGAAATGGGGATAATAACACCAACATCAAAGGAAGATTAAATGAGATGGTTCTTATAAACTTTTTTAACATAGTACCTGTGACCTCTTAAATGTAACTATTATTAGGACTAATAATAAGTTCTAACGTCTAAGACGTTTTTCCCAGGATCACAATGCTTCTTGCTACATTTCATACACAAGGCTCAAAAAAATGGAGAACTAGGGAAACTAGATTTCCTGCGCTCTTCATAAGTGTATGTGGCCCAGACTAAGTTATGGTCAATGAGATGTAAACAGCGTGTCACATGATACTTCTGGAAAACCTCCTTACAAGATTTTTACAAGGTCAAGCCCTCTCCTGTCCTTCATATTTTCTGCTCCCTGAGATAAAGAGGAAATTCATGGAGCTCCAGCAGCTATAGAGAACCATAAGGATGAAAGAAAGCTGAGCAAAAATCAGAAGAGGCCAAGGCTCTTACACCTTAAAAGCCCCAGACTGTCTACCTCTGATTCCTTTATGTGAGTGAATAAAATCTTGTATGTTAAACTTTGTATGGGTCTGTCACAAGGCAGCCAGAACAAATCCTAACTGATACACTGAAGTCTCTGGGATGTAGAAGAAACATGGCCTTTCTAAAATTCAAAGCCTAGAAGAACATATAAACCAGCAACCACCATTATAAATAAAGATTTTCATTATTTGGTAAATAATGACATCTCATTGTTGTTCACCTTCAATATAGGTGGGTAACAGTTCTGATTTAAGTGAGATGTATAGTTGGGAACGAATAAAGCTGGGATTTGAACTTATCTTTCTATCTGACTCTAAAGCCCAATGAGTAGTACCTCTTTCCCCTCGGTCTCCTTCTCATATATCTTTTTGTTTCCATTCTGCTTTCTGCTCCCTATCTTTTCTGTTTCATGTTCCTCCCACTCCCCTCATACCTTACATTGTAGGTGATTTTAGAAAGCATTTAAGTATTTATTGAATTAGGCTGGCAATAAGAGCCACTCACAGTGCTGGGCCTTAACACCGTTTCACCACTGAAAAGGCTGCGACTAATGCCAGACAGCAAACGTTAATGCTCTCCTCAGTTAGCATCGCTGGCCAGACGCAGGCATGGCTATGGGTGGGGAATAGGTGCTATTTGTATCCCACAAGGGGTTCAATTTCAGAGTCAAATAGAATGTGCACATTGTTGATACATATTTTTTAAGTCTGCTAAGTACTTTGGGAGAAAGGTCTTGATTAAGACCTCTATCAAAATCCTATCACTAGAGCACTAACAGAATGTAGTGCAAAGAAACAATTACTTGGCATGCATTTTGCCTTTGCCCCACCCACTGTATGACCATGAACAGGTTTCCTTGGTACTTTGCTTTATCCCTATAAAAGGGACCACTCAGGTCACAGTTGAGTTGAGACAAATGTATCCTACTTTAAAGTAGAGAGAAAAGCATAGAAAAATTACTGTGCAAAATTTAGGTTTGCCATTTCTATTTGTGACACACAAATCAATTATGTCAGAAAAGTGGATCACTTTCCCACAGGATATCCTAAGTAGTTCAAGCCAGTAATGCAGTTGACCTAGTATTTTTTTTTTTTTAATGTGGGTCATTTTTTTATGTCACCATCTTAAATAACCTGCCTTTATTTATGGAAGCACTTAACATATATTAGTAAATTCTGTGTGGGTAAACAGCATGCTGAGAATGTAGACTATAGGAAAAAAAAATCAATTGTATCAAAAAATGGGTCTTTTTCAGGTTAGCCATAGCAAAGCAAATTTTGACCAACATAGATTACCTCCTGTTAAGCTTATTAAGGAAATTGACTCAAGCTTCACAGTGCTGGACCAACTAAGACTAACAACACAGTCAAAAACTGAAAGGAATGCAAATACACAAACTCAAATCTCATTTGAAAAACTTCTTCCCTTTCATTGCTTCAGGGCATGGTCAAGTCAGGAAATATGGGCTGGTTGGAGCCAAGTGGTATTTTAGTGAGGCCAAACAAAATATGCTTCTCTCTTTACACAATTCTTTTTTTATTTTTTTAAGCTTCTATTATTTTAAGAAAAGAAAAAGCCATCAGTATTTGAGAAGAAATACCAACCTCAGGCTCAACAAATCTAAGTCACAGAAGTTTGAAATTGTTTCCAGTTAACATTCTGCCAAACCAGGAATTCCATATTAAAAGACCATGTAAACAAAATAAAACAAGCACTTG